CTAAACTGACTTATTAAGACACATAACTACATGCAATCACTTTAACCATATTTGTGCTCACAGCTCAATGACCTTGCAAACAAACCAAAACAATGGATCGGAAACTCCAATACCAAGCAACTTACCAGTGTGGGGAGCTCGACTGGCTGCCTGCCGTTCTTGCAAGCGTGGGGAGTTGTTCAGAGGAGTCCAACAGCTCCATTGCTACAGCAGTGCTGAACCAAGAGCGCAGATTGGTGATTTGCAGCAAGACACGTTGAATCGGGCAGGGATCTCACCAAGGTGCAGCAATGGCGGTGGCACTGGTCGATGGGAGCGACGTCCAGTAGATCCAGTATTGTAGATATTTATGAATTCCAGTTTCTACAAGTGCAGGAATGAATATCATTCATTATTTCATTATTTGCAGAAAAGACAAATTGACACAGAGAAGTGAAACTGACCCCTTTTGTAAAGATTGATAGTACATCCGTTTATAGTGATTGTAAACTGCAACAGATAGAATCTGCAGGTTTACAAGGCTACATTAGTGCATCGCTCCCAACTAATTCAAAACTACAACGCTATTGTCAGTATATGAGCAAAACAATAAAAGAAGGATTTCCAAATGTATTAGAGAGCTGGAAAACAACATATCATGTGAAGAAAAAACAACACAACTTCTATTAGAGTGCTGGACATTTTTTCTAGCATGGAGAAAGGAGTGGAATTGTACAATTGATGAACTATATATTCAATATAATTCAAAGGTGCAAGCAAGATTTATTTCAAATTAAAAGGTAACTGGAAAACATATTCTATAATAAACCATTTTATACCATATATTGTAGTAGGTGTTTAAAAATAGAGCCTCCACCAACAGTTGACACGCAATGATGGAATCAAAGCTCGCAATTCTTGTCCCCTACAGTGCAAAATTATGAATAACCTACAATGCATTATTAAAATAATGGGAATCCCCATAAAAGGCTAGTTTGATAACATGCATTGAACACAGGGAGTAGAGTCAGCTAACAGAGTACAATTGCCCAACGAAGATAAAAAAAATAAGTCGCATTTCAATTAAAAAACAAAGGCTCCACCATTTCCAGTATCAGCAACCGGAAAAGACTGCACTATAGAACTGTGCAATTGCCCATAGGAAAAGACTCCATATTGCCCAGCTCCCTTATTAAGATCCGGTCCAAAGCTAAGCTATAATTCTTCTCAGTCTTAACTCTCTTATCACCAATTTAAATGACTTTTTTTTTTATAAAAGTGAGCCACTTCCATGCAACAAACGTCAATCCAACTGATCATCATAAGTATCCCTTCATAACCTTTTTTTTGTTATATTGTGAAACTTGTTAGTTAGCGATCAATGGACCAGTTTTGAAAATATAAGCTATCTCAGTTGCATACACTAAATACCTTGTTGGTCATTACTGAAAGAACAGTTCACAGCTAAAAGAAAAGACCTATATAAAAATCAAAAGGCACACAAACTATGTCCACTAAAGTTCACTCCGAGAACAACCACATAGTGAGTGCTCTAGAAAAGAAAAGGGCACAAAATTGTTGAGCCCTAAGGAAATCAGATACACCGAAACATGTAGATCACGGACATAGTTACTGACTAACTGTGAGACTTAAAAAGACAACTTGAATCCTTTTGCCCATGGCATTGGCAGCGCAAGTGTAGAATGACGTTTTCTTCTCCTAATCTTTAGCATCCCGCCGAGCTTGAAGCTCATGTTAATTCATCATGCTAGGGTGAGTTGCCTTAATGGCACCACAAAACTTGTTGTGCGGGTGCACTCTGTCCTTGATCTCCGAGACAAACTAACTTGAGCTAGGTTTCTTCAGAAAGTCAAGAAAGTTGAGGAAATTCCTCCTGGATGTTAGAAGAAAAGAAAAAGAAAAACGACATTGATAAGTTAAATATCTGCTATCAGATAGTTTGTGCTTGTGCCTCCTTGCCTCTTGTGAAAAGCTGTAAATATTTTCTAGCAAGCTCATAAGCAAATGTGATAAAGATTAATATAATTAATAATTATCCAAAATTCACTATAAGCTCAATCTTCAGTTGCAAATGCATGTCATGTAATTTCAAAATGACGATGAAATACCAAGTGCTTTATTCTGTATATAAAATTCTAAGTACAAATGAAAAAGCAACTTGAGACATAGCCATAGCCACATCAACACAACTAAACAGAACTTGTTTCAACTGAACTTTGATAAATGAAACCGAGACATAATAACAGTGCATGCATACATTACCCTGAAACCTACTGGTGAATTCATGTTTAATAATAGCCACAAAGATTTACATTGCTGCAGCTGAACATGAACTCGTTGAAATCCATTCCCTCAGGCATAGTCAAGTCATGGCTCCGACATTTTTTTTTATTTACATCATTGCTCAAATGGTTTTAAGTTTGAACCAATTATATTATAAAATCACATTGCAAAGTGCCAAAGTGGTCTATTATTTTTATTACCTACATCCTGGTAGATCTTGCAGTCCTAAAATAAAATGCTACCCTAGCCTTGTATATTTTAGAAGCCATGCATGATGATTTGCTTATCATGAATTACATCACCAACTCATGAGAATATCACCAATTCTGGAAGCGGTGGCCTAATTTGAGAGTATCCACCATAATAACATCCATATTTATGAAGAAAGTTCCATGAACCTTCCCATATTAAATTTAGGCACTCGTAGCATTGCAGACAGGCCAAGTCAGACAGGCTAAGTCAGGGCTGCTTTAGCATGACAAAGAATATCTTCAATGTGTTAATTTAGCATAACAGAACTTGGGCAAGCAAATAGACATTATTTTTTTATGCATGTCAGGCTAAGTCTCATGCCGTGTATTACCTTCTCCAGTTTGTCTATCTAGCTGCAATATTATCATTTCTGATAAATTAATTGTACAACTATCATTAACAATTTAAGGCATGAAAAACCAAATCTAACATCTATATGGCAGTAAGAAGGAAAACTCATCTTACCTTGTCAGTATCTAAAATTTCCTATAGTAGGTCAGTGTAGTGAGAGGCCTCGATTGATGATCTCGAATCAAGCTTGCACGCTCACTCTCTTTCTTGAAAGTAACAGTAGAAATTGATGCTCTGGCTTTTCCAAAGTGGGAATACGCACGAGCTCTCTGGAAACACATTATGCAATAAATCTTGATTTACAGCTAGGAGCTGTAAGCATATGCATAGTGCCAAAAAATGTGGATGCAAAGGGGCAAGTTTGTATAGCTTTCTGATGAATCAGTCAACATTCGAAGGACACCAATATTCCAGCGCTTTTGTTCTCCTAAAATAAAGATGGATGCAAACTACGAAGGTTACAAATAAACCTCACAATCTTTGGAAGTGCATCTGAAACTATCTTTATAGTCTGCAAAGGCTACAGGAATGAAGACGATGTGAGTGCTTTTCCTTTCACATCATAGAACCAAAGAGGGGAGATAGTGACTGTGATATGTGACACCTCTAGCCTCCCAGCCTGCTGAGCTTGTGCACCTTAAGAACTCTAATCACAGCATTATTGTCTGGAGGTAACTCCAATCCTGAATCTTCTCCAAAAACCAAAACCTGAAATACCAGGTTTGGGTCGAGCGTCAGGTCAAAAATCATGGCCTGAACAAGCAGTACACACTACACAAAAAATCGATACAAAAAGATTCACAATTCATATGGTCGCAGGAAAAGACGCACAGAAATCTCCATATCCCAGTCAAATAAGTAATAAAAAAGGTCCCAAATGAGCCACAGGAGGGCTTGCCTCCAGTTTATTAATACTTGGCCTTCTCTTTCTGCAAGTAATACTGTCATTGCCCAACGGCCAACTCTTTGTCCAAGATATTACAAATGCAGTAATGCCAGGCTAGGAACTAAGATCGCAACATTATACGGCTTGTGACACAAATGTTACCAATCTGTGGAAGATGAAGTTTGTTATGTAAACCGAAATTACTTATAGCCTGACATCACTGACGAAGGTGTAACAATATTGGATAGAAGGACATTGAAATGTCTTGGTTATCGATCACAGGCACCCCTTAACAAGGCAGTCCCTTTGGCTTTCCTTCAAACCCCAAATACTTGAAACGAGATCGAGATGGAAGGGAGGGAAGAGTGTATTAAGGTTGTACTCACACGAATGGACGGATGAAGGACCTGTCCTCGGAGCAGTTGCAGATCGCGAGGGCTCCTTTTGCTGCTTCTGCACGACGGGATGCGGCTGCTCCTCGCCGCCGGCCGCCCCTGAAGCTCCCGCCGAGCGGGCGGAGGCCCGATGCTGAGTGGGCCCTAGGGTTCCGTCGGAGGCACGGTGAGGGTGACGATGGGAGCGCGGTGGATGCGGAGCCGGGCAGAGGAATGAGCGATGTTTGTTCCTTCTTTTGAAATCACGGAGCGAGGTTTGTTTTCCTTCTGTTGTCGCAAGAGACGGGCGTAGAAGCGAGAGCTGCGGGATCGCAGTTGGCAGAAGACGAAGGTCGCTAAAAAATGATGTCCACTTTTTAATTTTTTTATTAGTTATATTATATATTATATGAGAGATTTTATAATATGAAAAAGCAAAATTTCTGACGTTTTTTTTTCGTCCAGCCCATTCAATTCGGGCCAGCCGTCCCGGTCCACTCACTCCGTCCGGCCCACTCGCCTTCTACACTTGGCCGCACGCCTCTCTCCCCGCACGGCCCGCTCGGCTTCTCACATGAGCACACGCTCCGCTCGCCCGCCAGCGTCGCCGCCGTTCCTCCCCGCGTGCAGATCCGCCGCTGGCGCCGCACCAGCGAGTAGAGCCGCCATCGCCGCTCCCACATGCAAAGCGCCGGCGCTACTTTCGTGCGCAGCGCCGCCCCGCCGTCCAGCAGTCCGTCACCGAGCCGTTCCCCGTACGGCACAGATGGAGTAGTCCGGCGCCAAGTCGAACAAGAAGGCGCCGCTCTTCTCCACCACCGCCCAGGTCACCTCAAATGATGGCACCGTTCTAGATGGTGCGGACCCGGGATGCGCCGCCTCCTCTCGGGGTCTGTGCCGCCACCATTGCTGCCACGTTCTTCCGAGAAGCCATCGTCACCGCGTTGGTCGTCGTACTTGGCGTCGCTGGATGCTTCATCGACACATCAAGTCAGAATTGGAATCGCAATCGAATCTCGAAGACACCCGTTCGGATTCCATGGTACGCTCGACACGAACTCCTTCCGTTATTTTCCTGTTTATAGAGATTTTGGTTGAAACTGAAATTAAAAGTTGCCATTGGGACATCCTGATCTCGCAAGATTCGTTGGGACATCCTAATCTCGCAGGCGACCTGACCTCGCCGAGGTGGACAACGCTCCTGACCTCACCGGGCACGATCAAGCAAGGTTGGCTTCTTACATGCTGTTTCTCCCTCTTCTCTGATTCTTATGTTATTACTCATCATGTACTGACAAAAGTAGTAAAAGAAAGAGAGCGAAATTAACTGGGACATGTGATTTATGGTTCAAAATGTGCACAGTATGAGTAAAATCAAGTAACTCAGTTGGCAAATCCTAATTTGTAGATGCTGTTACCTTTGATTCTCTTCCGATTTGCAGTTCCAGTGGCCATCCAGTGATGTCTCTGAAGGACATCAACTTGGATGAAAGTTATTTTCTGCCTTGGCTTATAGGATCTTATTTCTTCATGTTTTGCCTAGACAGTTTGACAAAGACGAGCACCAATCCAGGAGGAGGATAAGCTTTACTTAGGCTCAGTGAACTTCTTTCCAAGTGTGAGTCCAAGGCAAAAAAGATTGATCTTGGTGAGGTTGACCTCAAGACAATCATGGATGGGAGCAAGGAGCTATATTCAGGACAGAGGCTTTCCTTTTGTTGTTCAAGATTTTGCTGCAAGCTTCGATTTTGGAAACAAGTCCGACGGTTATCACTTTGGACTTCTACATAAAAACATATAGCCTACACAAAACAAAACAAAAAGAGACTGATTTCTAGATTTACCATTGTTTAGTATGTGATTATGGAATATTCACATAGATCTTCAATATTGTTTTCCTTTATAAGATATATGCTGTGAACTGTCTGCTTCTTTTCTTCTGAGGAAGAGCCAATTCAGCAATTGACAAAGAGCAAGACGGTTGCTATTAACTTGTCCAATATAATCAATCTGATCCTCTTTGTCAGAAAAGTCATTGACTCCTCTTTTTGTTAGAAAAGTCGTTGCTTCAGTTGAAACTGTATCCATGGCGTTTATAGCGTCAATGCTGGATTGCCTATTGGACCTTCTGTCAGGGTTCATACTTTGGTTCATGGCATATACACTATGAAAAAGCTGAACAAGCACAACTATCCAATTGGAAAGCGCATGCAACAAGTGGTAAGGACATTGTTTATCTAACCAAATTACTTTGGTTGATTTTTATCATATATAAATTAAAGATGATAAATGTTCTTAATCACATAAGAAAAGCCTACTCAGATGTCAGCTCTGAACTTTTGTGTTCTTGTACATTCTTCAGAATCAGTTTACTTCAAAAGGGTAGCTAAAATGAGTTACACACCGGCATATTTCTGAATTCCACAATACCTAGATCACTCGGAGTGTTGGCTTTTGTTTTCAGAATTCCAGTTAACTGAATAGTTTGACATTTGTTACAGGGAATAATGATTTTCGCATTAGTAATGGGCACACTTGGCTTCCAAGTGCCGATTGAATCAGGGCACCAACTCATAACTCAGGTACATCATCTATGGCTCACATTTAGCATAACACCTAATATTAACTCTCACTTGGTTGCTAATACTAAACATGTGCGATGACCCAACAGGAGCATGTGAAAATTTCAAGCGTCCTTCGTTGCAGCCGTGAAGTTATTCCTCATACTGTACTGCCAAACGTTCAAGAACGAGATCGTGAGGCGTGAGCTCAGGATCATTTCTTCGGCGTGATCACAAACTCCATAGGCCTCGCCGTCTGATACATATGGCAGGGTAGATGGACCAAGTTGGTGTCATACTGCCATACTGGTGAGCACAATTGCAATACAATCATCTGAACATTGTGGATTATATAAGTAGAACAGTGCTGTCAGTATATAACTAAATGTAATGAATTGTAAAAAATGTAGATTGTGCTCTACATTGACGTGGGCACACTGATTGGCAAGTCCAAGTCCGGCAGCGGAGTACCTGATGAAGCTCACATAACTGATCTGGAACCACCATGAGGAGATCTGGCACATGGACACGCTGCGAGCCTACACCTTCGACATGCACTGTTTCATGGAGTCCCAGTGACCTGCCATTCAACCAGGCACACGACATCAGTCAGTCGCTGCAGGAGAAGTTGGAGCAGCTGCCCGAGGTCTTGCGTGCCTTTGTCCACGTGGACTTCGAGTTCACAAACCGGGCCGGGCACAAGATTGATGTCTGATTGCTTAGTTACTTTAGATCCCAGTTCAGCTGTAATGCTGTTGTAGATCTTACTTCATGAGCTCACAACTTGGGCATCTAGATGTCTTTGTTGTGTGACGTCATGAAAATTGGAATACCATTTTGTATATAGATAACTATTCTCTTAGAAAGGAAAATCCCACTGCGGGTTCTGCGATACACTATTCCAATCTCAGAGTATGTAACCAGCTCATAATTCCGGAGGTAAATCCACAATAAATGGTTGCCAGTAATGCTAATTCAAATGATGGCATAACACCTGCACAAGCAAGGATGATGTCGCCCTCACAGACTGCTCCGCATGACGCCCACCTGGGACTCCTTGGAACAGTTATTCTTGGACCTATAGAATAGACAATTCAGCAAAAGAGTCAGACACTCTGAATTTGCACCTCTGTTCCGATCTGTGGCCCAGAGAACGTGGAGCAGAAGGCTGACTGCTATGGAGGATTTCGGACAAGTCTAACTCCTGGTGTGAGCTTTGTTAAACACATATAAGTCCAACTCCCTGGCGTGAATACAACCAGGCTAGATTATTGGCTCTGGAAGTTTGAAATTAATCGTAATGTTATATATGTCCTTATCATCACCCGTAATTTTGCTAGTAAATATAAAGACTGATGGTAAATTGACAACACATAATCGAACCTATATCAATACATCTATCTTTTTGTCTTTTACATTACTTTTCTCATCTACTATTTCATCACGTTATTCATTGTCACCGATGTTTATTACTTCAACGATGGCGAAGCCCTTGAGTGGTCAGACCGGCTAAGGTAGCCCATAGCTGCTGCATGCACTGACGGCCCCTCCCAGACACTTGGGTATCAAGAGACCTTGTCGTCTATCTTGCGTATCACGCTTACGGCGATGCTCCTTCAACGATGTGCCCTGCACATTGCGCAAATCGTTGGAGGCACGCGGTGAGATGTTTGTGTGCAAAACAGGATATAATTGCTTCAGATCATTTTATTACAAATGTGTTGATGTTGAGTATCAAAAACATAGAAAACACCGCCTGCTCCTTAACGCCGCCGCCGCACCTAGGGCCCCTCTCCTTCTTCCTCTTTGGTGCGTCCGCTGAGGATTAGAAGGGGAGGGCACCCATCCCTTTTCTCATAGTTTTATCTCTAGTTGCTTAGGGTTTAGTCCCAAAAAAATCTTCCGATGAAATCAGATGATTTTCTATCGTGATCGTGTTTCCTGCAATGTCTTTGGAGATTGCCATGACGAGATCATCGTTGTAGGCGTTGATTTCATCGACAGGAGGCCAAGTGGTGGCCATTATCCCATTATCTGCAAGGGAAAGGGTGCTTCTGGGCGCCTCCAACGAAGATAGCTACTCCAGGTCATCGATCTCGTCGCGGAGAGGATTTCAAGCTTTGAAGGTGATGCATCTGCATCCTATGTTACTCCCGACGATGCAACTGCCAATATTCTTTCATCGATTTAGATGTGTTTTAGACTAGTTCCGAAGCGCTAGATCTTGCGGGTCCAATGTTTTGGGGTTGGTCGTTAGATTCGACATAAGGCTCCGGTGTTCGAGGGATGCCTTCGGGGAAGAAGATGTAAGAATCTAAATAAAGTACCATGTATTTTTTATTTCATTTTTTCATGTGTAATTTGGGGATGCACTGTGCTAAGATTTAATATAATCCCCCTTTCCTTCGAAAAAAGGAGTATCAAACATAGGGGTGGATTAAATCCCCAGATTAGCGCCATGATAGTCCGATTAACACCATGATTGATTCTTCTAACTAGCCAGAGGCTACACCCATCGAGTGTGCTCGCGGCACCCTCTGGCTTATTAGCGGATGGCTTGAAGGGTCTAAGGCTCAGACCAAAAGAGGAACTTAGCACCTGGGAAATGAGTCGAGGGGTTAAGTACCCGACTCAAGTCACCCAAACCCGGGGGCTCGATTAGGCCAAAGTAGCTCCCGAGCTTGGAGAACAATAGCCGAGCGAGGGCCACAGCGCACAACCTGACCTTTGCTCGGGCCAACCTTCGGAATCTGTCAGGCGTCCATAGCCTGACACACTGGCAGAGCCACAGGGCGTTAGGCCCTACCAGTGCTCTATTCCCTCGCTCCCACGAGGCCATGTTGGCCACTCTGAGCACAGGGTCACACCCGGGGCGTGACGTAATGTGCCAAGGCCGGTCGTGCCCCCCTCACATGGACAAGCATGGGCCTGCAAGCTAACCCCACTCTGCATACGATCAGGCTCATAGCATGTGATGGACGCCACGAGAAGGCGAACGCAGAAAAGGCACAACAGCGGCAGACAGCCCCTGATGGTCAGCTCAAGGCGGTGGCAGAAGATATCAAAGGCAGTTGAGCATTGTCCGCGACCACTAGAAGATGAAAGGTGACGCCTGGAACCCGCATGAAACCATGGAACATGTACTCCCATTGCCCTCCCATATGTAAGGTTGGTTGGGCATAGGCTCCTGTAGAAGGGGTCTCATGTGGACAGACTCACCGAAACCTAGATTGAACACTTAGTCTTTGATCAGCTCCCTGACCTAGTGATCAAACCCTAGACATTAGCATAGTGCTCCCCTACATCTCTCTCTCCTCAGCTGTAAGAACTTGATTGAGCATTCTAATTCTAATATGCATTATTGCTGTATGTAGGGCTTAGATGCCCGAACTAGGATAAACCCCTTGTGTTTTGAGTGCTTAAGTCACTGGAGACTAACACATCGACCCCGTCGAACAACTGATTACTGCCATAGAATCGAACCCATGAAAGTTGATGCACACACAAACAGCAAGATGATCCCTCAGGTTGATTATTCCCCATTGGTTTGAAGTGGATTGTTGCCAAAGTAGTCCTATCAGGTGGTTGGGTGTAACACCCTAAAAATTGCTCCTTTTGAAATAGATATAAATTGATGTAATTTTGTATTTTTGTGCTTATGAAAACATAGGGAAATAATAATTTTTTATTAAATTATAATTTATCATAAGGTAGAAACATGTTTGAGCATACATCTGGATGCATTTGATTTATTTTGGTTGAGTGGTTTGGTCAAAATCCAAAATGAATTCAAATTGTTTTGAAAAGGGATTGGAAAATGGTTTGAGAAAAAGAAAAAAGAATTCTCCTCTCTCCCTCCTTTCTCCTGTTTGGTTCGCATGGCCTGGCTCTCCTCCCCACCAAGGCTAGGCCTAGTTTGGCCTGTCTCCTCCCTCACTCTCCCGCCGCACCTAGGGCCCCTCTCCTTCTTCCTCTTTGGTGCGTCCGCTGAGGATTAGAAGGGGAGGGCACCCATCCCTTTTCTCGTAGTTTTAACTCTAGTTGCTTAGGGTTTAGTCCCAAAAAAATCTTCCGATGAAATCAGATGATTTTCTATCGTTATCGTGTTTCCTGCAATGGCTTTGGAGATTGCCATGACGAGATCATCGTTGTAGGCGTTGATTTCATCGACAGGAGGCCAAGTGGTGGCCATTATCCCATTATCTGCAAGGGAAAGGGTGCTTCTGGGCGCCTCCAACGAAGATAGCTACTCCAGGTCATCGATCTTGTCGCGGAGAGGATTTCAAGCTTTGAAGGTGATGAATCTGCATCCTATGTTACTCCCGACGATGCAACTGCCAATATTCTTTCATCGATTTAGATGTGTTTTAGACTAGTTCCGAAGCGCTAGATCTTGCGGGTCAAATGTTTTGGGGTTGGTCGTTAGATTCGGCATAAGGCTCCGGTGTTCGAGGGATGCCTTCGGGGAAGAAGATGTAAGAATCTAAATAAAGTACCGTGTATTTTTTATTTCATTTTTTTCATGTGTAATTTGGGGATGCACTGTGCTAAGATTTAATATAATCCCCCTTTCCTTCGAAAAAAGGAGTATCAAACATAGGGGTGGATTAAATCCCTAGATTAGCGCCATGATAGTCCGATTAACACCATGATTGATTCTTCTAACTAGCCAGAGGCTACACCCATCGAGTGTGCTCGCGCGCACCCTCTGGCTTATTAGCGGATGGCTTGAAGGGTCTAAGGCTCAGACCAAAAGAGGAACTTAGCACCTGGGAAATGAGTCGAGGGGTTAAGTACCCGACTCAAGTCACCCAAACCCGGGGGCTCGATTAGGCCAAAGTAGCTCCCGAGCTTGGAGAACAATAGCCGAGCGAGGGCCACAGCGCACAACCTGACCTTTGCTCGGGCCAACCTTCGGAATCTGTCAGGCGTCCATAGCCTGACACACTGGCAGAGCCACAGGGCGTTAGGCCCTACCAGTGCTCTATTCCCTCGCTCCCACGAGGCCATGTTGGCCACTCTGAGCACAGGGTCACACCCGGGGCGTGACGTAATGTGCCAAGGCCGGTCGTGCCCCCCTCACATGGACAAGCATGGGCCTGCAAGCTAACCCCACTCTGCATACGATCAGGCTCATAGCATGTGATGGACGCCACGAGAAGGCGAACGCAGAAAAGGCACAACAGCGGCAGACAGCCCCTGATGGTCAGCTCAAGGCGGTGGCAGAAGATATCAAAGGCAGTTGAGCATTGTCCGCGACCACTAGAAGATGAAAGGTGACGCCTGGAACCCGCATGAAACCATGGAACATGTACTCCCATTGCCCTCCCATATGTAAGGTTGGTTGGGCATAGGCTCCTGTAGAAGGGGTCTCATGTGGACAGACTCACCGAAACCTAGATTGAACACTTAGTCTTTGATCAGCTCCCTGACCTAGTGATCAAACCCTAGACATTAGCATAGTGCTCCCCTACATCTCTCTCTCCTCAGCTGTAAGAACTTGATTGAG